CAATGAGAAGCTGGGATTTAGATTGCGTGTAGGTTGAAGTCCCCCACCGAAAAGATGTGATTGTATGACTGTGCTATGACTAGCTTCATGTCTGACAACAGACTGGGATCTATTTCTTGATGGACTTTGGATGGCTGTATACTATTATAAGCAGGCACACACCACCACGTTTCAGAGACAGGCGGCACCAGACAGAACCGACCACTTACCTATCTGGATAGTCGATGAAATCAATATGCAGATCAGATCGGTAATACAAGGGCACTCCATTTCATCATCATCATCATCAGTGCATCAGTCATTTGAGCTGATATTTCGCGGCCATATAACCAAACGACCTGCGGGACGAAGAATAATAAGGGGGAAAGAAGGGGGACTTACTGAAAAACCTTAACGCCCTATGCAAATATTTGTCAACTACGTACCGTCACAAACAACTGGCTATCGTGCGAAGATATGGCGGCATCAACGAGATATCTCAATGTGGCCTTCACTGCCCGCGTCGTAACCAGTCATGGACTCGCAGATAACGGTACCAAACACCCTTTGAATATACAGTCCGACTACTAGTCGACAGCAGACGCGCTACCGGTGTCCACTACAAGCCAAGTCTGGTAAAGTCTCGAACCAACCACAAGGCGGGTCACGTGGACTCCAGTTTGAAAGGCAAAACGGAGCGGCGGCATCGCGTTTGGTCGTCAGTGACTATATTTCCTGTTGCTGAGTCAACTTTGGTCCACCTCGAGCCTTGTCCCACCCTACATCCGACAGACTAAACAATGCCTTCCTAGGTAAGCACTGATCTGGCATACGTAGTACGTGTCCAATCCAAAGCAACTTATTCAGTGCTATCTGTTGTTCTAAGGAACTAACTTGGTTATCACTGCCTAGTACTTGTCTACGCACATCATCGTTGCGGACACACTGGTGCCACACGACACCAGCAATGCTTCGCAGACAACGACGAGCAAAGACTTGAAGTTGCCTGAGACCCTCAGACCGAAGGGGCCAAGTTTCACTACCATAGATTAGAATGACTCTCACTGTGTCCTTTTAACCCTGAGTTATTGGACCAAGGAAAACCTTTTTATGGCGCCAACGATGTCGCGGATAGATCTGACTTTTGTAATACGTGAACTGACTTTAGTGCCTATGCGCTCATCCATGCTGATGCAGCTGCCGAAGTAAGTGAATTGGTCAATTACCTCGAGTTCCCCGTTATCAAACGTCAAGGGGTCGTCAAATGGCGCGTGGGCCTGCAATAATACCTTGAATTTACAAGGTGCTAAGCGCATGCCAAATGATGGGACCACTCTAGAGGTTCAGTGTTGATTGCGCCGCCACAACATTGTTAAACAACGGGACAATATCATTTTCATGATCAAGATCCACTAGCCTTTCACCAGCCAGCACATCAATACCTGCATCGTGAGATTTTGCAACGGAATTCACGACGAAATTAAGCAAAGTAGGGAAATTGGACAACCCTGAAGAATGCCACTTGTTGTCGGAAAGATACCCGATAAGTCGCCGTGACCCTGACGCGGCCTGTCGTGTTCAAGTACAGGGAACGTAAAATGTTCAACTGTTTCATGGGAACACCTGTCCGCACAAGTGTCTCAATGAGAACAGATCGATCCACTGAATCAAACACACACTTGACGACCAGGAACACAGCTATAGTCCGCCTGCGATACGTGTAGTGCTGCTCTAGCGCTCGGCGCAAAACCAATACATGGTCTACACAGTCCCGTCCTGGACGGAAACCTGCCTGCTCTTCCCTAATCCGAGATTCCCGTTCCACAGTGAGGCGAGGAACGAGAATCGAGGCCAGTACTTTTGTCACAACTGGCGTTAGGCTAATACCCCTATGGCTTGCCCAGTCTGTGCGACTGCCCTCATTGTATATTGCCCCTATAATCGATTCACTGCAATTACTCAGGTTGGTCTCTTTCGTCCAAACGTGTTCGAAAAGGGAGGTCAGTATTTGTAGAGTATCTCACCTCCATCTTTAAGTAGTGCAGGTGGAAGAGAATCCTGGCCAGCGGCAAGAAAACAATTGACGGCTGTGATCGCATTTCGAATTTCGGCCTCTGATGTAGCCTTCAAACTACTCGACCGTAGCTCATCCTGTATTACTTAAGTAGGAAGAGTTCCGGAAGCAGGGGGTCAACTGAACTGATCTTGAAAGTGTTCCGTCCAACGGGCTATACGGCGTTCCTTATTTTGAGTTATGGCATCCTCGATGTCTCTGATTGTCTGGCAGACCTCTGCTTTTCTGCGACCAGTGGTCCGGATCAGCTGGAAGAGCTTTTGCGATAGGCGTTTACTACTCCCATCTCCACCATTTCTTGGGCCCGACTAGTCCACTAGACTTCCTTGTCAGGGTGCAGGCTATGCTTTAGTTCGCACTGTATAGCCCGTCTGAGCACATTGTTTTCAGAGCCAGCCGGGAGTTTCCTTCTGGACTCCGACAGGTTCACTGACCTCTCGGATATCCAGTGACTAGTTCGGTGACAATTAAAAGTACCACAAACAAATGCTCCTGCGTCGTGCATGGCGGCTGAGACCTTATTCCACTGAAGCTCAGTGTCATTAGCACAAGAGAGTGGAAGTGGTGTACTTAGGGAACCCTGGCAAGCCTGTCTGACCGCGGGTTGAGATAACTTCTCATTTGTTAAACGAATTTCATTTAAAAACGACAGCGTACCAAGGCATGATCAGATTCTACGCAAGTACTCCAGAATTAGTGACAATCCATGATGAAACCACGTCACCTATAACGTATAGCAACATGATCTATTTGTGTCTATCGCGGGCCAGCTGCAGAAGGGGCCAAGTGGCGCTTTGGCGCCCACTATATCCAAAACCGCTACTACTACGAAACAACTATTGCTCTGCACACAGCTGTAAAAGGCGCTCGCCGTTGTCCGTCCGATCGAAGTTAAGTCCATACCTACCACCTGGCTGAGCTTCTGAAGTGCTCAGACGACCTGCTTGCGCATTCGTATCCCCTACACTCCGCTTCCTCTGCTGGCTCGATCGTTTCGTAAGAGAATCACACCGGACAGGGCTATCTTGGCATCGGTATTCCCAGTATTCATCCATGTTTCGGTTTTCATGATGAAATCCCAAAGAGTGGAAGTTTGACGAATACGAACCTCCGTTAATTTACTGCGAAGACCTTGAGCGTTGGTATACTAGCAGGTGATGGCCCCAGAGATTAAAAGTGCACAGGTAGATGCAGCTTCTGAGTGGGTGGTTATTCCGATCATTGTGAGGTCGGCTGTCAGCCGTTTCTTATTGAACCGTAATCATTGGCCGGATCGGCATGTGGACTTCTCGGCGTCTGTAGGTGGCTGAAAACTTAGACATCCTTCAGCTGACGGAGGGTTTTGACTGCATCCTCATTCTGAAAGTCATGCTGGTTGGGGCGCACACAAGCGGGGCATGCTCAGTGTTGTCTCATCGATTTGTGGCCTGGTGTCCATTGACTTTATACGTATTTCGGATAGGAGCTTCTTGCGCATTGTGAGCCACGTTTCAGTCACCTTTTCTGCCATGGGTTTTCTTGCAGTTTTACTTTTATCACTCGTAGACCATTCCCTCTGTAGTTAGAAGATGATTAGAAATTGAGATCGAATTGATGATCAACTTTTCGAGTGATAGTAGTTTGCAGCTGAAACGCCATTCATCTCAGTCATGCGCTTTGGTTTCTAGCTCCTTTTGAGTCTGAAGCTAGAGGACACCTGGTGCATTGAGCGATTTCACGTCTTTTGTTCGCGGTAGTCGTCTGAGTTTAGTTTAGGTTTCTGCATTTCTCTCTATGGAACTTCTGGATACATGCGAACAGTGCATCGAGTTGTTCGAAGGCGAGTGGCTCACAATAGAACGGTTTCTGCATCATCTGTGCTCGGAGTTTAACTCGGGGCCTAATAATTAACGTCTGACGCCTTGACCACTTGGCACTGCGATCCGTGAGCAATGCTTGGTGCGGTGGTCAGGAATCCAAAGTTCGGTTTGGTGCACCGGCCGTGTGATTGAATTGCGACACAGTCGTCATTGGGATCTCGGTTTATTTTAAAGTAGACGTCGGTCATCCCGATAACCAGGACTGTATCTGAAATGGATAAAGTTTTGATGTTGCTCTCCCAACACTGCCACCTAACCAAACTCAGCCTATCTCTACCTGATGGGTCAAAACCGTGATGAAGCCGTTCACGGGTGTCAGTGTTAGGAGCAATCCCAAAACACTTACAATTCGGATACAGTCCTTGTGATCATAATGACCGAGATCTACTTCAAAGTGAACCGAGATCTGAATAGAGATTGCATGTCGCAATCCGACCACACGACGTGTACTCCAAATCTAAGTTTGAATTCCTTGTCGCTGTCCTGAGCGTTACTCACGAATCTTAGTTGCATAGTGATCAAGGCACCAGCCGTCAACCCTAACCCGAACTCTACTCCAGCTCAGGCTATCTCTACCTGATGAATCCAAAGGAGGACGAAACCGATCATGGGGTGTCAGTGTTAGGAGAGCAACACCGAAACCCCTTCAATTCGGATACAGTCCCGGTGGTCGGAATAACTGAGGTCTACTCGAAAATAAACCGATGTCTCAATGGCGATTGCATATCGCACACGATTCACGTGACGGATACTCCAAACTACATGTCAAACGTGCCCAGGAATGTTTAGTTGTCTACACTTGATTACTGCTTTTTGATGCACTGGAACGTCGGTACTGACTTCTAGATTTGGTTCCTGCGTTGCCATCACTTGAAACATACTAAGTGGATGTGGTTTACTATGACTGCATAGCCGTCTGAATGGTTAGAGTTATTACGGATATCATATCCCGCTGTGGTTGTTGTGATTATTCCTATTTTTGATGACAACTTTGCAGCTGTTCACGATGTCAGCTATTCGTAGTCACCAACTGAATCGTTCATTTCGGCCTTCATGCCTCATTCCGTTCAACTGCTCGCCTTTCCCAGGGTTTACTTGGCGTCGATGCCGCCGGCGGAGAATCCAGATGCATCCAGTCCTGGAGATGGTTTGTACGCTCGGTTGGTCCACCTGGGCCTACTCATCGTCCATTCCGCGTCCAACTTTCCTCCGACAGCAGTTGTAAACGCTGTCGAGAAGCTGGTCGAATCAGGAGTTTTATAATGGGTTTTATTTTTAAACTTTTACCCTTTCTCCACATACTGTCAGCGTTGCGCTATTCGCTTACTGTTGAATTTTGTCTATTCATCTTACTTCTGTTTACCTCAGGGGAAACTCTACATTTTATCCGAGTCAGGGTTTCGTTTTCTAGCTCTACCTACAACATCCAGTCGCTGTTTGTCGTCGATTGCACCTTGAGTACCACCACCAGGGGGCCAAATGTCTACATCCGTTAGTGGAGTTCCCCACCGTTCCAAATTATGCATCCTTGCTTGATGCCACGTTTCACCAGCCGTGCCTGATAGCCATCGTGAATCAGCTGGTATTTAGCGCTGGTTACAATAAAAGTCGACATCCCATCTAACCCACTGAAGCCACGGTCCATTTTCTATAGTTTTGACGGCTTTGCATGAGCGATTCTACAATGCAGGTGCGAAATTCATTCGTATCCGGTCCTCCACTATCATTATACTTGCTTTTCGTCTGCACCAACTGAGCACGTGGAACCGTTAGTATTAATACTGCGCGAGGCATTTGCAGCAGCATAAGCTCAAGTTCGGTGACGTACCACACTCAGTTTATACTAATTCCTTTGTACTATGACCACCTCACGAAACCCCATCGGGAGACTTATTTTTCTCCGTTATTTTGAAGTTTCGCGACATAAAAATGGCGCTGCCCACGAGGTTAAAAATTTTCGTCCCATCAATCACACACCCATCATATCTAAAATAAGGGAAAGGATAGTGAAAGATGAACTATTTATATTCTTGAACAAAGCTAACATCATCAGCAATTCGCAACACGGTTTCATGCATGGTCGATCCTGCGCAACATGCCAGACTGACTTTTTAAACCACACAACAACTGCCATTGACAACGGAAACAGTGTCGTAATCCTGTTCCTGGATATGCAAAAAGCCTTTGATAGAGTGCCTCACAGAAGGTTACTAAACAAACTAAAGGCTATAGGCATTGGAGAACCGATGTTCTCTTGGCTGTCTTCATATCTAATAGGTGGACAGCAGGTTGTACGCATAGGCGACCACTTCTCTAAACTGAAAGCAATCACTAGTGGAGTGATTCAAGGGAGTGTATTTGGTCCACTTCTTTTTCTAATTTATATTAACGATATCTTCCAGGGAATAAGAAATGGTGTTGCATTCGTCTTTGCTGATGATATTAAAGTTGTCTACTCCCAACCACGTACAAATACTCAGGAAGCCGTACGTCTAATTCAGGATGACCTATTTGCCCTTGACTCCTGGTGCCAACTGTGGCAGATGTCATTTGCCGTGGAAAAATGTAATATTTTGTCGTACAATTGCCAAGTACCGCCAGACAGTTTATTACTACAAGGTGCATATATCAGGCAGTGCAGGACAGTTCGCGACTTGGGCGTGCGATATTCAGTAACGTTTAACTTTTCTGAACACCGTGACTTCCAAGTTTCGAAAGCCATGAAGACCATCGATTATATCTGCCATCATTTTTACTTCACGGAATCTCGCATATCCCTTTACAAAACATATGTATTGCCGTGTATGGAATACTGTTGAATGGTACAGTCTAATCTACGGAAATCTGACCAGCATGCTCTTGAGAGGGTCCAAAGACGCTTCACGAAAAAGCTATGTGTATATTCCTCAAAGTTGACATACAGAGAGCGATGTGATAAACTTGGATTTGACCCATTTTGGCTTCGGATAATGAAGCTGAACCTATGTTTTCTTTACAGAATCATAAATTGTCGAATTCGGAGTCTTGAAAACGGTGTTCACATATATGTAAACAGCAGATACCCAATACGTAACAAAGAGGTAAAGATCATGATTCCAAAATTTACTATGAGAATCAGAGGACGTTTCTTTTTAACCCAATACTCAAAGATTTGGAACAAACTTCCAAGTGATTTCAGAACATGCTATACACTTTGCAATTTTAATCTTGCGATTAGTAAGCATTTAACCGTTCAAAACGTGATTAATATCTTTAAGATATCACAGTCCCTAGATAAGGTATTCGAAAACGGTATTCATGGTGCATGAATAAATTTACGGAACACATAAACATAACCTTTCGGATAACAGCCCCTTTCATTACATATTTTTCTCTCGGCCCAAATATTTGTCATGAGATTGTGAAGGATCCTGATTCAATGGCAGGAAAAAATAGCAGAACAATTCTGAATACTCTGTGTAACCTAATTTGCAATTGCGCCCATGTTTATCTCTGCAAATGTATTGATGAAACGTCATGGAAAAGTTGTACCATTATTTGATCTGTTCCTTCTAGGGAACAGCTCGCATCGTCGAGGAAGTTACAATTAATTTATCGATGTATCATGATCCATTACGTTGCCGCGCCGGTCAGTGCGTCTGTTGGATAGCGAGCTCGATGTTGTCTGTGTGAAACCATTCCACGTAACCATTCGCATCAGGCACATAATTCGTGATGTGATATAAATAGGCTCCACGTGATCTCCCCCTGTATTTTCGCTATTTCATTGTCTTGGAGTGTGCATTTTGCGTGTTTTTTTCGCCTCCTAATCACCAGAGCAACAATGCGATCACATTTCACACAACATATTCTTTCAAAGTGCGGTGCATTCGGGTCATATTGGTTTCAAAAGTTTCAAAAAACTGTTTCGGACCACCATCCTGAGGAGCAGGCACAATAACATCGATGGACTGTGCGATTCCTTACTCAATAGCTGTGACATTCGAACGGGAATTCTAATTTACTTACGGTTTCGATCATCGAAATTGTTTTGCTTCATTACAGCAGCTCTAAAGACAACCGCTTTTTGGAAAAGCATGACACATTTTCCCCATCAAAATAACTTCTGTTCATTGTCTCCCTCGTCTTATTCAAACAGCACCACTGACCAAGTGGTATCTAACGCTTGCTTGTTACACTGCTCAGAAATATTCCCTTCTTTTTCTTAGATCAAGGGCAAAGTAAACTTACAGAAATCTTGCTTTACAATTCCGTTCTTTGCGTGCAAACTAAACCGTTTGCGTAGTTGTTGTTTTCCGCCTCAATTCAGATCTGTACTCTCTACCGACGCTACTTGGACATTGCACTTGTTCAACTCGCTATCACACAGGCCTAAATTTTATCCTAAGCTGTCTTTGTTCTTTGAAAATCGTCATTGCGAGTACTACCCATCTATGACAGCATTTGAATCGCTTGCGATTATCTTTTAGTTGGGCTTCTTGGTCCAACTTGTTTGTCTTTTCAATTTTGTCTCCTGATTCACGTCACGACAACTGCACAGCTACAATAATCCCACCCACATGACCATGCTGACTTCTACGCAGCTAGGGTTCTTTTGTCGATACGGTTGCACATTTTATCTGCGGATATGGTACACTGACCCACAAACTCGCTCATCATGAGACTATCTAAGTTCGACATTGCGCAGTCTTTTAGCATCATGTCCGTCGGGACAGATTGTCGCCTTTTCGAATACTCAACGGATAACTCAATTCACTGGTGCTAGGTGAAGGCCCTCAACTAATTTGTAACGAATGCATGCTGACTGCTTCTGGGTTACTTATTTCGCACCCTTAGTTTTCTCGAAGACGGAGTTCCGCTGGACAAAGTATCGGTGTCACATGCCTCACATTGTGAACCGCTCCTTAAGAACGACACATTTAATGTTTTTGCTCCGCTGACAAGTCGTTTGCCGCCAGTAGTTAATCCATTTCACCGGGCCAATGATGGTGCTGTTTCTGGGTGCTAAAAGTCGTCGACTCCTTGATCTGGATCAACATCTTCTTCACAGAGCTTTCGGGAAGTTTGACTCTTCAGTCTTTCCAAAAATGCTTAGTGCGTACGTGAGGCCGCATGCGGAATACGCTATTCAAGCGTGGCAACCCTGCCTCAAGCACCATCTCACCGCGCCCGATACTGCACAACGTAGGTCAAAGAAGAGTGTCAGAGGTTTGACCAGCCTCCCCTATCCACTCAGGCTGAAGACCCTCAAAATATACAGTGGACGTTGTCGGCGTCCAAGGGGCGATCTCATAATGGTGTACCAGATCCTGAGAAACCCCAACCACCCATGCCATTCCCTTCTAACACTCAGTCAAAATACCTCGCTAAGAGGTCACTAGTTTAAGTTAGTCATGCAGTACAGCCGCCTGGAATGTTGGCGAAACTATTTCTCCCTTCGAGTGTCACAGCCTTGGGACGCCCTCCCAGAACATGTAATTAATGCACCCACCCTATCCCTTTTCAAAAAATGGCTTGACGATACTCTGTCACATGTACACTACGTGCTATAGTCCATGACCACCAGATGCTGGCACTAATGCACAACAGACAGTGGATAGTGTCATAACCCTACTCGAGAATGAGTCACTCCAAACGTTTTGCACGAGATTTGATAAACGCTACTACTATAGAAACTGGATTTCTGTATCCTGTCGACCAAAGATAGTTGCACACGAGTAAGCGTTGTCCTTGCTATCTCTTTTATTTTTCTCGCCCATTATGTGATCAATAACCACTCCCTTCATTGCTTTGTGTGCGTACATTCTTATTTCAAGCTCCCTTTATACGACAGTGCAGTTACATCTGTAATCGCTCGAACTGACGACTCCATTATCCCTTGCTCTATCTTTTTTGTCACGCCAAACACCCTGCGGGACATGTCAAGCACCTGCTTTTTTACCCGTTATTAATCGCTGTTTTTGTTCTCCCTAATAACCTACTCTCTGTAGCACGCTCAGGTGATTTATGCTGGAGGTGAAGGACTTCATTTCATACATTTACCGCCGATTTACGTTTGCCCCGGGAAACTCAAAAATAAAAATAAGGTGTGTCTCTCACTGTCCAGGATAATTAGCTGATTTATTTATTTATTCTAAAATCCGTCCATATAGATTCTAAGTGCTGTGTCGTACACAGTCGCTATGCGGAAAGTCGTAACTCCTGGGGGCTAACCACTGCCCCCTGCACACTTCGTAATTGGCATTGCAGTGGAAGATGGGCCGCTCCATATCGTAATCAACTGTCAGTCATGCAGATCTGCGGCCATCACCCATGGCTTCGTGGCACAAGTTGCTGGCATCCGGAAGCCATGGGGTCGGAACCCGCTAAGTATTAGAGGAAGCTGTGCCACT